TTTATATATCCATAATTACATACATGCACTGGCCCTGGGGCTTGAACTCAGCCTGGGCTCTGGCCCTGAGCATTTGTTCAAGGCTAGCACTCTACCAGTTGAGCCACAGCTCTACTTCTGGCTTTTTTGGTAGAAAGTCTTGTCGACTTTTCTGCCTTGGCTGGCTTCAAACTGTGATCCTCAGGTCTCAGCCTTCTGAACAGCTAGGATGATAGGCATGAGCCACCAGCATCCAGCAAGTTTATTATTTTTTTTAATTTAATTGTGTGTGGGGGGGTGTACAGTGCTAGGGATCAAATCCCCATATGATAGGCAAAGCACTCTACCTTCTAAGTTGTTACACTGAGCTATAGCCAGAATTAGTTTTTTATTGTATTAATCACATTTTTAAAAACTTTTTTGCTTGCATGGACTAGTAGTACAAAGGAGTATCATTGTGATAATTTTATAACATGAACAGTGTACTTTGAACAAGTTTGCCCTCTGTATTTTATTGCTTCAAGTCTCCCTCCTCAGAATTAATGTATTTTTTTGGGTTGGTCGTGGGGCCTGTACTCTGGGAAATTAATGTATTTTTAATAATCATGTTTTTATGTATTCAAGCTAATAAGGTCATTAAAGTAATACATTCTGTTTAAACTCTACCATACTGTGTTGCTCTCCATATATTCTATCATGAAGAAATATAGAAAAGTTTCATATTTAGCCCTTAAGAAAATTTGTTTATATTATGTTTATATAAACTATAAACATATAGGTTAGTATATTGATTTATTAAGAAATTGTTATAGTCTGGTGATACTGAAAGAGAACATTTTTTATTTCACATATTACTACATTTTTTCACCATCTGATTTCATAATCCCCAGGTTTGTTCAAAGTATATTCTATATCTTTGGTGAATACCTTACATGCTACCATAATTACGGCAAAAGACAATCCTAAATATGTGCAAGGCTGGGAATTGGCTCAAGTATAGAGTTTGCCCTGACTAGCAAGCATGAGACCCTAAGTTCAAACCCTAGTTCTTCAAACTAGGAAAACTTATAAACAAGTTCAGCATGTTTAAGATGCTGAATGCTGCATTTCTAGGGTAGTAGCTTTAAATGTAGTTTTTCATTTTATAAAGCAAATTCTATCTCCTTTAATAATGTTATCTAACCAGTTAGTCGATCAGTAATTTTTATTTTCTCTGATCTTATAGTGAGGTTCTACCATCTTGTGTAGACTCAAGATGTCCATTAAAGATGGAAAATTTAGATATTGCTTAGCATATTATTCTCTACTTCAGTGTGAAATCACATTGTAGTCACTTCTGGAAGCCTATGAGCTCTGTAATGATGGTTATCTTCCTGATGTTTCCTCTTAGACTACCAGCACACATTGGGTAGATGTCACCCTGACTGAGAAATACCAAGGATACTGAGTATGCTTGCTGCTATAAAAAGACATTTGTGGACTGGAGGCATGGTTCCAGTGGTAGAGCACCTGCCTTGCAAGAGTCAAGTTCTTTATTTCAATCCCCAGTTCCACCACCAACAATAACAAAAACAGGAGACAGGAGATGCTTTCATGAAGCAGAAATGGAAATGAGACTAAAATTCTGATGTACTGATTTCTGCTTTTGTGTTTTTCCAGAAAAGTAAAGTTAGACTCTCAAATAGCTGCTAGTAATAACAACTAACATTGTAACATGTAGTGTGCTAAGAACTATGCTATGTGCTTTTCTTATCTGTTCTCTTATCCCCATGTAACCTTTGCAGGCCATTGGCCTTGTTATTACCTCTGTATATAGGTTAGGAAACTGAGATAAGTCATCTGTCCAGAGTTGAGTTCACCTTAACAGTGGTGATCGGTGTTGGTTATGGTCAGTCTGATGGAGAACAATGTTACAGTTTTATATCCAGCATCTCCAAAGCATTAAGACCTGGGATCTGTCATCAGAGTCATCTTATTAGCATGTTTGAGTAGGTTACAGTACCCATGAATGAAAAGTAGGTCATACCAGGTACCAGTGGCCTATCTTAGCTACTCAGGAAGCTGAGATGGAGGATAGAGGTTCTAAGCCAGCCCAAACAAAAGTTTACCAGACTCACCATCTCCAAAATATCAGCAAAAAGCCAAACTGGAGTCATAGCTCACCTTGTAGGGTACCAGCTGAGCAAACAAGTTGAGCCACCTTGACACCCTGATTTCAAACCTTAATAATATTAAAAAAAGAAAAGAAAACCTAGATAGGTTATAAATCGACATCAGATGAGGCAGTGAATGTTATATGTATTTATATATATATATGTTATATATATTTCGTTATGTAGAAGATGATTTTGTGAGAAATAAGTCAGGAAAGATTCCTTAGGATTTGGGGGAACTACAAGGTCAAGGAGGGTAAGAGCAGTGTTTGGTCAGCTATTTGTCACTGTAAGCAAGTAACTGATGAAGAAAAGGTTTTCAGCTCACAGTTGGGGGATTGAAAGTCTAAATGTCATTACAAGGGTTTTGAGAGTTGTCCCTTTGCTGTATCACCTGGTGGGGCCAGGGTGGGGGATGGGGAATGATTATATTGAAAACAGGAAAGGAGTATTAAATGGAGTCAGGCTTGCTTCTTTTAAAAGAACTGTTTCCCAAGAAGGAACTCAGAATCAGTGAGAAATTCTTTCATGTCTTTGTAAGGACTGTTCCCAATGTCCTCCCACTGGGCTCTGCCTCTTAAAGTTTCTACTACCTGCTAACACCATTATCTTGAGGATCCAGCTTTTATCACATGAAGAGCACTGAAATTCTATCAGTAGCAAATAGGAAAGCATCATATTAACAAAGGTAAAAAAACAAAACACCAAATGAGATTTTGATTGTGGGTGAAGCAAGAAAGCAATGGCCTTCAGTGAAGTTGATAGCTAGATTATGAGGATCCTTCAATTCTAAACAAACCGTAACTTTAGATCTAAAACTGTAAATATCCAGTTTTGAAACCTGCCTATCAAAAAAAAGGACAGGATAAGAAACTATAAGAAATGACCCATTGAACTGGGCACCAGTGGCCCATGCCTATAATCTTAGCTACTCAGGAGGCTGAGATCTGAAGATTGTGGGGGGTTTTTTGTTTTGTGTTTTGTTGGTCATGGGGCTTGAACTCTGGGTATGGGCACTGTCCCTCAGCGACTCAGCTCAAGGCTAGCACTCTTCCACTTGAGCAATACATAGAGGTTTCCATATTTAAAAGAATTTTTCTTTCCTTGCTACTCTTAAAAATCACAGTAATGGTATATGTGTAGGCTCTCTAAAGAAGTAATTTAAGGAGTTTAGTAATTTCACATTTTCTTCTTCTGTATCATAGTCTGAAATCTTGGTGTTCTAATTCCTTATTGTAACAACATAGTGCTTATTGTATCTGGTCCAAGCACTGTGACCACCTTCCCTGGATGAAAGGCATTCCCACGACATTTCTCAGGCTTTTTTGTCTTCTCAAAGGTCACTCTGTGTATTCTGTCCTATTTTAGTCATGTGGCAGAACTGAGGCTTGTTCTGTAACCTGGCTCTGTTGGATCCTGAGATAACTGAGTGAAGTTGCTCATTTGGGGGGGGGGGGCACTCAGTGTCATAGTCCCTTTCAGAAGCAGCATTTGCTCTGCAACTTAGGCAGCAAGAATACAATTAGTAATCAAAATTAGTAAGTTACTGTTTACAGTGAAGTTTTCCAGCAAGGCATTTCTTTCCATGGTTGATACTGTTTTATTTTATGTGCTCTCTCCATCTGCCATAATGATGTGGATGATTCTTGTTCATGTATGGTAACACAGCCTCTGGCCAAACTCGGGCATGCCACTTAGTGGATATGGGAGGAATGCAGAATAATGCAGTTCAAGGGTTACAGAAGTACTGTAGCCTCAGACCTTCTTCCTTAATAACATTGGTGTCTTGAAAATAAAAGAGGGATTTTTCTCTACATTCTGTGTTGTCCTTTGAACCAGTTTTAAATCTGTTTTGTGAAGACATTTTGGTCAGTTTTGCCACAGCTGCTGCTGCTTCTTTTTAGTAGTAATAGTAGTAGTTGTACTAGTAGTAGTAATAATAGTAGTAGTAGTGTCATTATTATTATTAAGATGATTTACAGGAGGGTACAGTTAACATAACTCAGGTTATGTTTTGGGCAATGTCACCCAGCAGCTTCTTCAGTCATGTGAAATGGTGGTTGTGTTGGGCAGGCAGTTACTCTGACAAACCATGCAGCCTTTGGGAATTAAACATACAGGACCCTTTTGAACTTTTTGGGATCTCCAGGAGGAAGACCAGAACTATGTGACTTAAATGTGTTGCTTTCCATTTTAGTAAATAGATTCATTTCTTTTATTGTGTTTGTTAACTTGCAACACAAATTAAGTGGAGAATAAGAATTGTGTTCGAGGGGCTGGGAAGGTGGCTCAGTGGTAGAGCGCTTGCCTTGCATGCCTGAGGCCCTAGGTTCAATTCCTCAGCACCACATACGCAAAAAGAAAAAAGCCAGAAGTGGTACTGTGGCTCAAGTGGTAAAGCACTAACCTTGAGCTGAGGGACAGTGCCCAGGCCCAGAGTAAAGGCCTCACGACCAGACCCAAAAAAAAAAAAAAAAAGAATTGTGTTCGATAGCTTTTTTTATATGTATCATCGTACTTTTAAATGTTTAACAGCTCCTTGCTCTATTGTAGTAGTAGCTAAGTGACTTTTTTTTTTTTTTTTGCCGGTTGTGGGGCCTGAACTCTGGGCCTGGGTGCTGTCCCCCCGCTCTTCAGCTGTAGACCAGTGCTCTACCACCTGAACTTCAGCCCCATTTTCAGTTTTTGCTGATTATGTGGTGCTGAGGAATCGAACCGAGGGCCTTATGCATGCAAGGCAAGCACTCTACCGCTGAGCCACCTTCCCAGCCCCGCTAAGTGACTTCTTTGAAGTCTTGAAGTTTAATTTCTTAGTAGTGGATTATCTCCTATACCTCATTGCTATGAATTCACTGCTGCTTTCTTTAGGCGCACCTATGTTGGCAGTATGCCTGGTCGCATAATCAATGGCTTGAAGACTGTTGGAGTTAACAACCCAGTGTTCCTGTTAGATGAAGTTGACAAGTTGGGGAAAAGTCTACAAGGTGATCCTGCAGCTGCTCTGCTTGAGGTAACATGTAGAACATTCCCTGTTTGCAATAACATTTGAAGAATATGAATGAAAGTAAATCATATTTGAGTAATATATGCATTAGACTGTGGTTAATAATTATATGATACAGGAGCTAGGTACGTTAGGGCAGGCCTATCATCCCAACACTTGGGAAGCGGAAATGGAAAGATCAAAGTTTGAGGCCAGCCTAACCAAAAAAGTTAGTGAGAACGTTTCAGAAAAGAAACCAGTATTCTGTATTCCTAGCTACTTGGAAATGAAGGTGGGAGGATCATGGTCCAAGGATGGCTGTGGAAAAAAATCAAGATTCTGGATAGTAGAGTGATTGAGTAGTAGAGTGATTGAGCCAGCTAGCAAGCATCAGACTGCCAATAGATAATAATAATAATAACAATATAATAATAATAATAGTGTTTGATACAGCCTAAAGTCTGAAATACTTGACATCTACCAAAAAACATCTTCCTTCTCTTTTCTTTTTTGTTTCATTTTTTTGTTGGTCGTGGGCCTTGAACTCTGGCCCTGAGCACTGTCCCTCAGCTCTTCAGCTCAAGGCAAGCTCTCTACCACTTGAACTACAGCACCACTTCCAGTTTTCTGGTGGTTTATTAGAGATGAGTCTCACAGACTTTCCTGCCTGGGCTGGCTGTGAACCGCAATCCTCAGATCTCAGCCTCCTGAGTAGCTAGGATTACAGGTGTGAGCACTGGCGCTCAACTTCTTTTCTTTTTTGAGACAGAGTTTTGCTATGTAGCCCAGGCTGGCCAGGAACTCATGCCTCATCCTTCCGAATTACAGAGATTATAGGTATGACCACCATGACCAGCCTGCTTGGTGTTTTTATGTTTGTTTGTGATTGGGCTGATATGCTTTTACCATTCTTCCTTTTTATTATATACTAGGCATAGCTTTTCTATGTTTTATTTTTTAATTTTCCTGTATCTTTATTTTTTATTAGGATTTACTTCATGTAGCTTCTTCTGGTCAGACTACTTTTGACCTTATTTCCAAGTGTTCTGTAGTTTTTCAACTTATTCTGCTCCACCTGTCTGGGTCAAATATGAATTATGCTTAATTGAGTCTATGATTTTCCAAGGGGGAAATATGTTACAAAAAAGAATGCAAAACAATGAAGTACTACAGTACATCTATTAGTACACATAAAATAGTAATAATACCAAATGTCTACAAATAGCTTGAGCCCAAACATTTATAGTACCTTCATTAATAACTATGAAACCTACAAGTAACAAAGATACTTTTCAATACGTAAATGGATAATCCACCCAAACAATAAATGTACTCAGTGATTTAAAAAACAAATAAAAAACCTCTCAAGCATAAAAACATATAGAAGGGCCAGCTAGGCACTTGTGGCTCATACTTGATTTGAAGCCAAGCCAGACAGACACGTCTATGAGATTGTTATCTCTGTGTAACCAGCAAAAAGCTATAAGTAGAGGTGTGACTCAAGTGATAGAGCTGCAGCTGTATGTGAAAAATCCAAGTGAGGGCTTGAGGGCCTAGGTTCAAGCCCCAGTACCAGTACCAAAAAGGAAGAAACACGAAACCAAAACATATTATCGAGTGAAAGTCAGTATGAAAAGCCACATATTTATGGCTCTAATGCTGGGTAAGGCCAAGCTGTGGATACAGCAAAAAGATCAGTGAAACCATTCTGTATAATCCTACTGTAAATAAAACTCACAGTAACTAAAACAAGCTAACCTTGATATTAGTTTGTATGGATATTAATTCATCATTATAACAAATGTCTCAAGTGAATTAAGCCTACAATGTCAGGTACTTGGGAAGTGTATAGTGAGAGGAACATGGTTCAAAGTGTGAAAAAAGAGTGGGAAGTATAAATAGAAAGATCTCAGTCATGGGCTGGGAAGGTGGCTCAGTGGTAGAGTGCTTGCCTCGTATGCATGAGGCCCTAGTTTCGATTCCTCAGCACAGCAAAAGCTGGAAGTGGTGCTGTGCCTCAAGTGGTATGGGCACTCGCCCATGATTAGATAGGTGGTTGGATATTCAAAGCCAGCTCTGGCGGAACAGTCTTAGAGGCTCCCATCTCAAAAATAGCCAGCAAAAAGTTGTGCTGAGGCGTAGCCTAATAGTAGAGTACCAATCTGGCAGACAAGCCAAGTAAGCTTGAGGCCCATGAGTTCAAGTCTGTATACTAGCTACAAAAAATGGCTAACAGAAACAAGAAGAAAAATTCAACATCCATAGCCCTATCATAAAGGAAATGCAAATCAAAACTGTGCTGAGATCCCACCTTAACATCTTTCCCCAGTCAGAATGGCTGTCATCAAGAAAACAAACAAGTGAGGATATAGCTGGGGAAAAAGGAACCATCATAGAAAACCCCCTCATACACTGTTGATGGGCATGTACACTGGTGTTACCACTATGGAAATCAGTCTGGGGAGTCCTCAAAAAACTAAAACCAGGCCTTCCCTGTGACTCTGCAATACAACTATTGAGCATATATATCAAGGAAAAGAAATCAATATACAAAAAAAAGGTAGCTGCATGTTTATATTGCAGCACTATATTTCCAGTAGCCAAATGGTAGAATCCCTGAGGTGCCAACAACAAATGAATGGATAAAGAAGATACAGTACATATATACTACAAATATTACATAGCCATAAAGAAAAAATTAAATCATGTCATTTATAGAAAAATGGATAGTATTCGAGAACATTAAGTTGCTTAACACCAGTCAAGTTCCCAAAGCCAAATAGATGTTTTTACTCATATGCAGACACTAGACCAAAAAGACATACATATTCATGGTCATGTACATGCATCTATATGCTTCTATCATCTATCTTTCTTTCTATATGGAGATGTGCATACATATTCACAACACCTATATGTGTGTGTGTATGTGTATATGCTTCAAAAAATTGTATATTCCCAAAGCAGGTAGAAGAGTGTCTGTAACCAAAAGAGAAATCACTTATGCAGGATTGGTCACTTATAAGGCCACATGATAAGCCATTAGGAAGCAGATTTAAAAGCAGAGTTTGAGAATGTAATTTTTGCATCTTTATGGTGAATGCTGTCCTGTTTTTAGATATGACACTGAACATGTAAAAATTTTAAACATCTTTTAGAATGTGAAGAATGCAAAGAACAATGCTTAAGTTTTTCTATTACTCATGTTTACTTAATAACTATATTGTATGCTTGAGTTTATATGTCTTTCTATTGGAACTACTAAAGGTTTGAATGTTTATTATTCTCCTCTAGGTGTTGGATCCTGAACAGAACCATAACTTCACAGATCATTATCTGAATGTGGCCTTTGACCTTTCCCAAGTTCTTTTTATAGCTACTGCCAATACTACTGCTACTATTCCACCTGCCTTGTTGGATAGAATGGAGATCATTCAGGTTCCAGGTATACCATTAAAATAAGTATTTTTATATAGCTTGTCTTTCTTAAGGATACCTTTAAAATGGATCATGCCAGGTAGTGAAAGTCCATGACACTCCAATTAAGCACCAAAAAAGCTGGAAGTGAGCTGTGGCTCAAGTGGTATGGGCACTAGCCTTCAGCAGAAATGCTCAGGGAAAACACCCAGGCTCTGAGTTTAAGTCAACACACGAAAAACAAAAAAACAACAGAAGCTAGTCATACTGAGTAGTTTTAAATAAAGAAGCTAATTTGCCAATGTGTACTCAAAAGTTCTGATAAGGGATATAAACCAGCTTTTCTGTAGATTCAGACTTTGAAACAACAAAATTTTGCCCATGCCTGATAAGAGTATATGCTATAAGATAACATGTTCAGATTTAATTCAGTACTGAAGAATGCTCACTTTGTGGAAAGAAAGGCATTCTTTGAAACTAATTCTGAAATTGCAGATAGAAATAATTTATTTCTATGAAACAGTGTCTGAAGTCTTTGCCAGTTCTCTGGGAAAGCATATAGTATTTTACTCTGAGTAAGAAGTGATTCTCAAGTAGAGCTGGACTTTCTCCTTAATAAATCTGGTCTCTCTCTCTCTCTTAATGTAAGTATGCATGTGCCTTTTAATTCCCTGTGTAGTTGACTATCAGGGAGTCAACATGTTTTTGTTTTTAACCACACTTCACTGGCATGTATGAGTAGTAAAGTCTTTAGTTTTACTTAAATTATAGCCTTTCCATCTTATTTTAATTACTCAGAATTATTTTGCCCTAAAAGAGATCAAATATCAGTAAGTACTTGTTAAAATCTAAATAGGAAAAAAAAGAAAAAAATCTAAATAGGGTAGAGTGTAAATATGTCTAGTTTTGTTGTTGTTGTTGTCGGGCTTGAATTCTGGGTCTGGGTACTGTCCCTCAGCTCTTCAGCTCAAGGCAAATGCTCTATCACTTGAGCCACAGCACCACTTCCGGTTTTCTGGTGGTTAATTGGAGATAAGAGTCTCATAGACTTTCCTCCCGGGCTGGCTTTGAACCTTGATTCTCAGATCTCAGCCTCCTGAGTAGCTAAGATTACAGGTGTGAGCCACCGGCACCTGGCTCTAAATATACTCTTTTGTGTGTGTGTGTGAGTTGGTTGAAATCTGGGCCTGAGCCCTGCCCCTGAGTTCTTCAGCTCAAGGTGAGTACTCTACCACTTGAGCCATAGCACCATTTGCAGGTTTCTGGTAGTAAATTGGAGAAAAATCTCATGGACGGGGCTGGGAAGGTGGCTCAGTGGTAGAGCACTTGCCTTGCATGCATGAGGCCCTGGGTTTGATTTTTCAGCACCACATAAGCAGAAAAAGCTGGAAGCGGCGCTGTGGCTCAAGTGGTAGAGCGCTTACCTTGAGCTGAAGAGCTGAGGGACAGTGCCCAGGCCCAGAGTTCAGGCCCACACCACCACCAACAACAAAGAAAAAACAAAAAAAAAGAATCTTATAGATGTTTCTGCCCAGGTTGGCTCTGAACTGTGATCCTCAGATCTCAGCCTTCTGAGTAGCTAGGATTATAGGCATGAGCCACCAGCACCTGGCTAAATATACTCTTAATGCATTGTATTAATCTGAAAGATTTACTATTCTGTGAGAGGTAATTGACTTCTTATCTGTGAGCCTTGCAGATTCATATGTGTAGTTTTAAACTGTGGTGGAGTAAAAAGACTAAAATAAACAAAGAATGTGATTCAATTGCTTGAATTCAATTGCTTGACTCCAACACAAGATAGAACCCTATAGAGAAACTGGAGAGAGGTGAAGATGTGACACACCTTCTGCCTCTGACATGGCTTTTCTGCTGTTTTAAATTCCTTTTTCTGTGCAAAAGATGCTTGTCAGTTTCTATTTAAATTTTTTGTTTGCTAAACAAAAAAAGGTACATTAATTGAGGTAGAATTTTGTTTTACTGAATTTAGGGGTAAATTAAGCTTATACTCACTGAGTGTCTTAATTAGTAAAAGCATGAAGCCTCTTAAGTATGTTATTTCTAGTTTTTTTTTTTTCCTAAAATGTGGGGATAAAAAAAGCATTGGTTTGTTTGTGAAAAATTAGGAAATTTACAGATATCATTGAGGTTAATTTTTCTTATTCCAGTTATGCTGTTAGAAGTACTTAAATTCATTCTAAATGTAAGATTCATTGTCTCTACACTGACTCATTAAAAAGCATGGTATTGTGAGAGCCATGTGAGGTCCTCCTTTCTTTTCCAGGGTATACACAGGAGGAGAAGATTGAGATTGCCCATAGACACTTGATCCCGAAGCAGCTGGAGCAGCACGGGCTGACTCCGCAGCAGATCCAAATCCCTCAGGCTACCACTCTTGCCATCATCACCAGGTCAGTCAGCCATCATCCCTGTCTCTGAAGAGGAGAGTTTTTACTGCCTGTCTGTAGCATCCATTTCTCTCTCCAAAAACTGCTCAGCAGGCATGGCCTGGCTACCGATTCACCTGACTTGAGAAACCATTTAGGACTTCATTGAGAAGACCTTACTGAATCAGAATTCCTACCTTGCCACAAGAGCAATACATGGGGTTAATTTAATAAATTAACTGATACTCTGTATGCCTAGGATCTTGAAAGTTTTTTATCTCACCTGAAATGAGCTGCTACTTTCAGACATCTCTTTTAGGTTATTCAGATTTTTTTCCTTTAAGAAATTTTTAAAAATCCTCAGTTTTGAGCTCCAGAATTAACATTGGAACAATAGTAAACGTGTTGTCTCAATTTGATAACAAATCTGTAAGCCCTTGGCAAGCACTGCTTGCTAATTTATAGGTTGTGTATTGGAAAGGAAAATATATCCTGTTGAGAACTTATGTCACCACTGTCTCTTAGAGTTCATGGCTCACTCTTACAGATTCATTGCATCACCCTACAGGTTGGGTCAGGTTACCAAGTCTTCCTCAGCTCCTCTCCTTAGCGACTGTTATGTCAAGAGATGTGCAGTTTCTCTCCACTTAGACTTTTGATCTGTGCCAGCCTTCTTATGGGTCTGTTTAAATTTATATATACAACAGTAGGACTAAATCTAACCTTGGAGTTTCTTTCTTTACTTGTCTTGTGATAGTGTATACAGAATTCCAAGAGAAAGAAATTATGTTATTTTCCTAAATATTCCAACAAAAACATTATTCAGATAACAACCGATACCTTTGGGTATTTGGAGCAAGGCACTTAATCTATTTTTTGATAGTTTCTGTCATAAAATGGATAGAGAAAAGTACATAGTTTATCTGATTTTGAATTAGAATGAGTCTGAACTGTAACCATTAGTTGTATTTTCTACTTGCCTAGTGTACTATTTCATTTTTGTATATTTTATTTTTTTATGTCAGTTCTAGGGTTTTATGTCAGAACTTGGAGCTTCATATTTGATGTACCATTTGTGTACACCCTCTCATTTTTATATGCTGGTTATCTGTGGACATTAGGAACTCTTTGGAGTAGTTTTGATTTAATGGTTTCATATGGTTTTTATTTTTTAAAAAAGTATATGCTAGTCTAAGCAAGGTTTAGATGGTTGGTAAGGACATAGAATGTTACCATTGAGGTTTTCATCTCTTAGGATGTATTACAGGCATAGATCCTTAATGTTCTAGTCTCACCCACCTCCCAGTGTAACCAGCTTACTGGAAGCCTGGCAGTCCTTAGTTGTTTACTGCTTATTATCTCTTGGGACAAGCTTTCAATTGCTACGGGCTTTCCTGTCCAAATTGGCTTCTTCGAACTGTGATTCTCAGATCTCAGCAGTTTGAGGAGATAGGATTATAGACATGCGACACTGGCCCCAGCTGAACTTTATTTTTAGCTCTCTTTGATTTAAATTAGTTTCACTTTATGGTATTTAATCAACAGGTTTTATCTGTTTTTCTCACAACATTTAAAATCTGCTTTTACCTAATCTGCTGATTGCCTAATCAAATATAGTTTTTTAGCTAAAACTGCGTTCTTGCTCTTTTTTAAATTAATTTTTTTTTTTTTTTTTTAGTGGTACCAAGGGTTGAACTCAAGGCCTTACATTCACCATTTTTTTGCTCATGGCTGATTCTCTGTCACTTGAGCCAGTTTATTTTTTTGTTTTTTGTTTTTGATGTTTTGGCTGGTTAATTGGTGATGAGTCTTTTGGACTCTTCTACCGACTTGGTTTCAAAGCTTAATCTTCAGATCTCAAGCTTCCAGCTTAGTTAGAACTATAAGTATGAACCACCAGCTTGGCAAAACTGAGTTCCCTGCTTGGTACTGCCTTTCCAATTCATCCAAGGCTGGATGGCAAAATTGGTGGCAATGAAAATGGTTCCTGCAATGGCTGTTGGTTTGCTCAAGAGTCAAGGATTCATTTTCAGGTATAGAGTAATAGTTCAAGATAAACTATATAAAAGAAAAAATGATATTGTACCATTCATAAAGAAATGGAAAGACTTGGAGAAACATAGGTTACATGGTTTCTTCATTTGTGCTAGCTAAACTCTTCTGATAAGTCTACAAGTAAACACATTGGATAGTAAAAATAAAATAAATTGGGACATGTGCTTTTCTTTTCTTTTTCTTTCTTTTTTTTTTTTTGTCGGTCGTGGGGCTTGAACTCTGGGCCTGGGCACTGTCCCTCAGCTCTTCAGCTCAAGGCAAGCACTCTACCACTTGAGCCACAGCGCCACTTCCGGTTTTCTGGTGGTTTATTGGAGATCGGAGTCTCACGGTCTTTCCTGCGGTCTTTCCTGCCCGGGCTGGCTTTGAACCACGATCCTCAGATCTCAGCCTCCTGAGTAGCTAGGATTACAGGCGTGAGCCACCAGCGCCCGCCCGGCGTGCTTTTCTTTTCTTTTCTTAGCTTTTCTTCTCTTTATGTTTTGGAAGTGGCACTGTGGCTCAAGTGGTAGAGCACTTGCCTTGAGCTAAAGAACTGGAGAATAGCTCCCAGGCCCAGAGTTCAAGCCCCATGACAGACCAAAAAAAGGGGGAGGGAGAGGGACATGTGCTTTTGATCATATAAAATAATATAAATCAAAATGAACTCTAGGTTATGGGAACTGGTTGGTTCTTTTTCTTTTTTGCTGTTTTTGTTTTCTTTTGGTCTTGTTTGTTCGTTTATCTGTCTTTGGGGAGGGTAAAAGGAGCACAGAAATGGTGGGACAAACTTGTTATCTTGCCCATGTAATTGTAACTCCTCTGTACGGTATTTTCACAATAAAAATTTTTTTTGAAAGTGCTGGGACAAAGGATGAACAAGTGCAGCAGTGGAACTCACTAGACACTATGTTGAACTTGTAGGTGGGGATGGGAAGGAAAACTGGAAGAAAGCAAGGGAAGGGGTCACATTGTTCAAAAAGAAATGCACGTATTACCTGACTTATGTAACCGTAACTCTTCTGTATATCACCTTTTTAATAACAATTTAAAAATGCACGAAGAAAAAAATTCAGTTGAGGCTGAAAATACATTTAAGAAATAATATTATTTTAATAAGATATGTTAGTTAAGAAAGAGTAATGAACTTGTAAATATATGTTGTTTCTTTTAATAAAAAGGCAACAACATTACTTTTTTGGGAGTCAGTTATAGGGCTTGAACTTGAGGCCTGAGTACTGTCCCTGAACTCTTTTGACCAAGTTCTGTGCTCTACCACTTTAAACCACAGGTCTACTTCTAGTTTTTGGTGGTTATCTGGAAATAAGAGGTACATGGACTTTCTTGCCTGGGCTGGCTTTGAACCATATCCTCAGATCTCAGCCTCCTGAGTAACTGGGATTACAGGTGTGAGCCACCAGTACCTGGTTTGAACTGGGGTTTGAGTTCAGGGTTCTGAACTAGACATATGCTCTACCATTTGAGCCACATCTCCAGCCCTTCTTTATTTTTCATATATAATCTCATATGTTTACCTGAGGCTGGCCTTAAACAGTGGTCTTATTGTGCTGGGATTACCAGCATGTGTTCCTATCTTACTTATTTGTTGAGATAGGGTCTTGCCAACTTTTTACCCTGGCTAACCTGGAACTGCAATCCTGTAGATCTCAACCTCCAGTACTGAGAGAATATTACTTTCATAAATGATGGTTTGCCAAAAAATAAAATATTTTTTTTTGATGACAGGTATACCAGAGAAGCAGGGGTTCGTTCTCTGGATAGAAAATTTGGGGCCATATGCCGAGCGGTTGCTGTGAAGGTCGCAGAAGGACAGCCCAAGGAAGCCAAGCTGGATCGTTCTGATGTGACTGAGGGAGAAGGTTTGTAGCCTCTGATGCACTAAGTCCAGCAGCTAAGAGTAAATGACATAATTGAGTTCTTAGAGCAGTGACATGTAGGAGTCTGGTGGTAAATGCATCCCATGGATATGTACTAAGTTAAGGTTTGGTATAGTTCATCAAGAAGATTCTCTACAATACACCGTTTGGTTTTGTTTGGTTTTTGCTTTTTTTAGTACCAGGGTTTGAACTCAGAGCCTCGTGTTTGCTCTGCCTCCTTGCTTAACTAAAGCTCTACCACTTGAGCTACACTCTAGTCTGGCTTTTTGTTGGTTAATTTAGAAGTGGCATCTTCTAGATTTTTCTTCCCAGGTGGGCTTTGAACATAGATTCTCCAAATCGACCCTCCAGATTAACTAGGATTATAAACTGAGCCTTGGTACCTTAAGTTATATTTATTATGAATGCTTTAAGAATGTAGTAACTATCTAGATTTGTAATGATGGTACACTTAATATATAGGCCTAACATTCTCATATTTCTTACTGACTCAGGCAGTTACTAACTTCTTAAATAATTCATAACATAAAAAATATTATAAGCCAAGCATGGTAACATACTTGTAATCCCAGCATTTGGGAGGCTGAGGCAAGAGGAGTGAGTTTGAGGCCAACCTGGGCTACATAAGAATCTTTGTCTAAAAAATAATAATAATAATTAAGCAAAATATTGTGAACAGCATTTTTGAAAACTCTAGGTATCCAAGACTGCCAGGACAGATCTTTTGCTCTGTAGAGCTTTTCAAGGAATCATTTCTTTTTCTCACATCTTTTGTAGGAATACAATTAAATATAATGTAAATTATTTTTTCTTAGGCAATTCAGGAGGTGATTTCATCAGGAGTGTTCTGTTACTAGAATTAACCAAATGTGTATGTTTCCTTTGCTATTCCATTAAATTATTGAACTTTCTTACCTCTAAACCATAAGAGGGTTCAGTTCATCATACCATGCTGTTTGCTAAAACTTCCTTTTAAGAAAAGTGACTTTAAGCAGGATCCTGGTAGCTCCTTGCCTGTAATCGTAACTACTCAGGAGGCTGAGATCTGGGGATTATGGTTCAAAGCCATCCTAGGCAGGAAAATCTATGAGACTCTTATCTCCAATTAACCAGCAGAAAACCAGAAGTGGATCTGTGGCTTAAAATAGTAAAGCACTAGCTTTGAACAAAAGCACTCAGAGACAGTGCCCAGGCCCTGAGTTCAAGTCCCATGACCAAAAGAAAAAAAAAAGTGGAGGAGGAGGAAAGGGAGAAGGAAGTGGGGGAAGGAAGGAAAGAAAGAAAGAAAAATGACTTTTGTAGGAAGGAAAGAAAAGATTTCTTTCATAATAAAGAGATTTATTAGATATACCATTTCTGAGGCTCATTCCAGAAAGCAGCTGAATAAGTGTTATTAAAGAACCATAGTTTGTAATGGGCTCAGTAAGCTGACATAGTTAACATCCATATTTTGCAACAAGAAAACCTTCCTCAGCTCAGATTTGGACTTTGGTCTTAGATTTTCAAAATCAGGAACCAAATAAATTTCTGTTCTTTAGAAACTAACCAGGCTATGATACCTTGTTAGAGCCACATAAACTAAACTTTCCTCTCTTCACCTGTACGTTAAAGGATATCTGGGATTTCTGAACCTTTGTAGAACTTCACTGCTCAAATCTGCTCACTGTTATGGTTCATCTCTACCCAGCAGACTCTGAGCTTTCTGTTTTCTTTAGCTTGCTATGTTTTCATTGTATTTTTATCCATCCACTTTCTGATTTAGCATTTTGTTGTTGGTCATGGGGCTTGAACTCTGGGCCTGGGCACTGTCCCTCAGCTCTTCAGCCCAAGGCTAGTGCTCCAGCTCTTGAGCCATAGTGCCACTTCCAGTTTTCTGAGTGGTTTTATTGGAGATAAGAGTCTTAAGGACTTTCCTGCCCCAGCTGGCTTCAAACCATGATCCTCAGATCTCAGCCTCATGAGTAACTAGGATTACAGGCATGAACCACCGGAGTATGACTACCAATAGTCCTGGCTAGCCTTGAACTCAGTTCCTCAGTTTTGGAATTTTACCTAGCTATAATGTATCATTTCTTTTTTATTGATATACCAGTACTGGAGCTTAAACTCAGGGCCTCAAGTTCTCATCTTGTTTGCTCATAGCTGGCACTCTACTACTTGAGACATGCCCCCAGAAATTTGAATTTTAATAACTTTCTTAAGTGAGAGAGTACCTGATAAGAATGGAGGCTGGCTCAAGTGGTAGAGCACCTGCCTAGCAAGCCCAGTGCCTTGAGTTCACACCCCAGTACTACCCAAGAAAAGGTGAGATCTCTATCTGTATGATACTAATTTTCCATTTACATTCTTCCAGCAATTTCTTAGTGTTATGGCCTCCAGTATAGCCATCATAGCACATAACCTCAGGCTTTTGTCTTTTTCTTATCCGTGATCATTAGAAAGGGAAAGAGTCAAATCAAGTATATATGATTAACACATTTTGAAAATTATGTTTAAGATTTACTTGTTTTTTTAAGACTTTATAATGCATTCATAGGGATTTGATATGAGTAATGTTCTATAGTTAAAATATATTGTGCCGGGCTCTGCTGGCGCTTACACCTATAATCCTAGCTACTTAGTGGACTAAGATCTGAGAATTGAGGTTCAAAGCTGGGCAGGAAAGTCCATGAGACTCTTATCTCCAGTTACACACCAGAAAACTGGAAGTAGAACTATGGCTAAAAGTGGTAGAATGCTAGCTTTGAGCAAAAATGCTCAGGGACAGAGCCAGGCCCTGAGTTCAAGTCCCATGACCGACCAAAAAAAAGTATTATATAGTATAATGTGTGTATATATGTATATATCTATGTTATATATAATATCCATTAACATTTGTAATATAACATAATTTGTAATATCACCACTCATTAATAACTTAGATCTTCAAGAACTTGTGAACTCTACATGAGCGTACAATTTTTTTTGTTTTTTAATTTAATTTTATTTTATTGTAAAGATGTACAGAGGGGTTACAGTTACATAAGGCAATGAGTTGTTGATCATTGTTACCCCTTCCCTTGTTGTTGTCCCACTATCCCTTTCCTCCCCCACCTCCTGCACTCCTCCCCTCCCCATCTTCCCCCCCCACAAGTTGTAAAGTTAATTTCCAGTATACTGTCCTATGGGTATCTTTCTTGCAATGGGTCATCCTGTGTCCTTATTTCAGCATTTTGTTATTTCCCTTCTCCTCCCCAGATTAGACAATGTATATACAAGATACAGGGTACCAAAATCAAGTACAGTGACTGCAGGGGATAGAGCATACAATTTTTAAAATAATCTTATTATTATTAAGATTTCTTACAGTGGGCTGGGAATGTGGCTTAGTGGTAGAATGCTTGCTTTGCATGCACAAAGACCTGGGTTCAATTCCTCAGTTTCACATAAACAGAAAAGCTGGAAGTGGCGCTGTGACTCAAATGGTAGAGCACTAGCCTTGAGCACAAGAAGCTCAGGGACAGGGCCCAGGCCCAGATTTCAAGCTCCAGGACTGGCCAACTACAAAAGGTGGCAGGGAGGCTGGAAGTAGAGCTCAAGTAGGAGAATGTGAATCTCTGAGTTCAAGTCCCAGTAACTGGCACAAAAAGGTTTTATACAGAAGGGCTACCATTTCATAAATCAGGTAATGAGCACATTTCTCTTTTACTTTCTCCCAGTCCCCCTCTCCTACTCCTGCCTACAAGTATCATACAATTTCTATGATAACATTTGCTTATGATGTTTCTGTGATTATTAGTTTTTAAATCAGAGAACATCTACATGATAATGTAGGCAAGCAGTACTAACCAAGTCATCCAGATGAATAACTATTTAAGGTAAACATTTGTCTTTGAGGACAATTTTGGTTGTATTCCTTATTAGAGATTCAGATATGATTCCATGTTCGCTCTAATCTTATAAGATAACCTTGAGTTATAAACCATTGTCCTCATTTTTTTATTTCAACTAAGCCAAAATAAAAAATGGTCTATAAGAGTCTATGTTAGGGGGCTGGGAAGGTGGCTCAGTGGTAGAGCACTTGCCTTGCATGCCTGAGGTCCTGGGTTCGATTCCCCAGCACCACATAAGAAAAAAAATAAGCCGGAAGTGGCGCTGTGGCTCAAGTGGTAGAGCGCTAGCATTGAGCTGAAGAGCTGAGGGACAGCGCCCAGGCACAGAGTTCAGGCCCTCGACTAGACCCCCCCCCCCAAAAAAAAAGAGTCTGTGTTAGTTTTTCATGCCAAAAAGTTCAACTGGACAGTAATTGAAAGTTACACATTAAGAAATGAATGACTTAAAATAGAAGAAAACAGTTTAGAACTTTCAAGTAATACACTGTAAGAATTATTTTTAGTGTTAGAAAATAATGCTAAACTTAGAGAGTTACTGCCAGAAAGGAAAGTAATTTCAGGACATGATCTTCAAAGCAGGGAGAAACTGCCAGTTTATCAAATGTACTTTCTGGAACGGGCCCAAAAGCTCTGAACTCATTTGTGGGATCTCAGCTGGTAGTTAAACCAAATGGTAACAGGGAATGTTAAAGGCAGGCGAGGTTCATAGTTAATAAGTGCCCCATTTATTATTTCTGTCAAAGTATAGGGATATTTAACAGAAGCAATACTGCATGATTTTTTTTTTCTTCATGGTAGTAGAGTACTCTGAATTTCTTGGGTATTAAGTTGAGGAATGAAAGTACATGAATAAAAGTATATTCTCCTTTAGCCAAGTCATATATTCCATGTATTTAAATTTACATACTGTAGAGTCAGACAGGTGTCCATGAGTTCAGTTACATAGGTGTCATATATGTCCAGTTATCCTTACAAAGAGTCTGTCTGATTTGACTATCTTGCCAACATTCCCTCATGAACACTGCAGGCCTAGGGCTCTGCTAGACTCGCTGACAAAGGTTCAGGAAAGGAAGTGGGCTTTGTGGGCGTTTACTCAGCTTGGGGCCTGCTCACCTTTCTTAATTTGTTGGCTTTTCACTCTTATCTCTTCAGCTATTCTCTCTGTTTTGTTCATTCTTTTGCTTCTCAAAAAAGAAATATTTTACCTGTCTTATCCTCTATTCTATTTTTTCATTAATTTTTCTCTTTCAGTTTGTATATTTTTGTTTCCCTATGTGCCAATTTATTATTTCATTGTCTGCTATTAAACTTATAGAATTCTTATTTCCAGTGACTCTATTTTCTTTTTGAATATCCATTTGATTCTTTATATAGATTCTAGTGATTCTTCATCGAAATTTTATCTTTCCATCCTTTAATCCATCTTTTCCTCTGTTTCCTTGGACCTACTACTTTTGGTTTTAAAGCTGTTTGATTACTCCATTATCTTACTCACCCCTGAGTTTATCTGCTGAGTTTTTGTTATTCATTTAGTGATTGGTTTCTTTTATTTGGGATACTGAGTGCTAGGTAAACACTTCTGCTACTTAGCCATAACTCCAACCCCTTTTCTTGGTTATTAGTCATTTTTTCTAATTTTTTCTGCATTTGTTATAATTTTTTTTCTTGTAGATGAGAGAATATAAATGCTGTAATAATCATCATCCTTACATTTTCTTCTGGTAAGGCACTAATAATACAAACACTCTGTAGTGCTTGCCTTATTTATAGGATATAGTCTTTGCTTCTAGGATGTGATTCCCATAGTCTTTATCTTTTCAGTTGCTTTTCTCTCCTGGGTTTCCTGGAGTCTTTTCCTCTGTGTGCTCAAGTTAAGAATTAGGTAACAGCTTGTGTTAGAATTTGAATTTGCATTCATTTTCAGCTTTCTCCTCTTAGGTCCTTCATTACCAGATTTCGCCAATGAAATGTGGTCTGTTTTACCAACCTTGTTTCTCAGTTACTTTTTGCCCCCCCATGTCTGCTAGGCAGGCAGTCTGCCACTTGAGCCACATCTGTAGCCTTTTTTTACTATGGTTATTTTTGAGTTGGGTCTTGATTTTGGCCAAAGCTGGCCAATCTTAACCTCCCACATGGCTGGGATGCCAGGAGAGCACCGCCACACCCAGTTATTGCTTTTTGATGCAGTCTTGAGAATTTTTTTGCCTGACTTCAAGTCCTGATTCTCCCAATATTTACCTGTGTAGCTAGAATTTAGTTTGTTTATTTATTTTTATCTTTTTGGTCCAAGTACTAAGGTTTGAACTCAGGACCTCACACTTTTGCTTGGCTTTTTCAACTCAAAACTGGAGCTCTGCTACTTGAGCCACACCTCCACTTCTGGCTTTTTTATGTCTGATCTGACTGGCTTTGAACCATGATTCACAAATCTCGCCTTCTGAGTAGCTAGGATTACAGGAATAAGCCATCAGTGCCTGACCTCCAAGTAGCTAAAATTTGCTATAAGCCTGAGCCACTGTGCCTGGCTCAGAGTTACTTTTAGCTAAATCATTTTCTGATTGTAAATATGATCATTCTGAATTATGTAAAACAGTCAATTGACTTGTAAAAGCTCTAGTTTGATCCTGATTTGATTCATATACCTTCACAGTGTTTTTTAATATCAACTTACTTGCAGATACACCTTTATCTTGGCTAGCTGCTTCCAAGTCTGTGGGAAAGTAGGAGCTAAAAATTGAAGAATTGGGCTGGGGTAGTGGTTTGATGGTATGAGTCATAACCACTAAGATTTGATGTCAGTGAAGACAGGCCTGTCCTCTCAGGATAGCTTCCTTGGATCTCTGCTGACCACAAAACACTAGGCTAGCTGGACCACAAATCTCTCTCACTCTAAGACAATTTTTATAGTTTAGGATGTGTGTTGTTTTCATGTTTAAAAGAGGGGTAAGGTGGTGCATGAATGCACGGTGCTGGTACTAAGGCTTGTACTCAGGTTTTTGTGCTCTCTCAGCTTTTTCCACTCAAAATTGGTACTCGACTATGGTACTCTACTCTGCTTCACTTTGTATAGTTGCCTTTTGTAATGGAAAATGGGTTCTTTCCAAATAGCTTCACACTGAACATGCATCAGAAAGGGCTGTGTTTGTGCACTATTAAACTCTTACCTACTCAGGAGGCAGAGATCAGGAGGACTGTGATTTGAAGCTAGCCTGGGTAAATCTGTGAGATAGTCATCTCAACCAGTAGTTGGGCATGTTGATGCATGCCTGTCATCCTAGCTACACAAGAGGCCAGGATAGGAGATAGGGAGGATTGCCATTTCAGGCTAACCCCAGGCAAAAAGTTTGTTAGATCTTCCCTTTCCTAGCAGACAAACCTGGGCATGGGAGTATGCACCTGTCATCCTAGCTGTGGTGGAAAGCATGAATAGAATGATCATGGTCAGGCTGGCCTAGGCATGAAGTGAGACCCATCTCAGAAACAACTAGGGCAGAAAGAGTTGCAGGTATGGTTCAAGCAATAACATGCCTGCCTAACAAGTGTGGAGCCTGACTTCAAACTTAGGGCTAACAACAACAACAAAAATGGATTTTATGTTGCTAAGCTTTCATTTCATTTTCTTTAATTCTGCTGTGGTTACAGCAAGAATATGATGGGTAGGAAAGGTTAATTGAAGGCCTCAAATGCCTTAAGAGAGCCTCGGGGACTCCTAATTTGCACTGTGAGTTTGTCATTTCCTATACTACCGACTGTTCCCACCATTTCTTCTTAGGGCCCGTTTTCTGCAGGAAGAGTCCAGCCTGCAGAGTTGCTTTCAGTGTTCTTTATTACAGCTTCCTGCCATCTCCTTCTCAAGCCAGAACTATGCTTTATGCCAGTTATTTTAAGTGTGGCTCTTTTCTAACCAAAAACAGGAAGCTGTCTCTGTAAGAGAATCCTTTCAGCTTTTTTTTTTCTAAGTTTGACTAGTCTTTTCCAAGCCTGAAGGTTTCCATTCTCTTGCCTGTTGCCTTAAGTACATTTCTTATATTATCAGAAAACAGTATATATAACATTTCCCAAGATTCCTTTGTCTTCTTGGATTAGTCTTTTCATTGTGTCAGTATCTGTCTTTTAGATTTTATATTAGTTATCTGTTGCTATGTATATGTACTCAGTTACTATAAAACTAAGCAGATTAAAACATTTAACAACATTAATCATCGCACAGTGTCTTTGGGTCAGGGATCAGTTGCAACTTAGCTCGTTAGTTCTGGCTCAAGACCTCTCATGAGGTTAGTTAAGCTGTCAGCTCTGAAGGCTGAACTTGGAAAGTTGGCTTCCAGGCTTGCTTCCATAGTTGTCACTTGACCTTGGTTCCTTACTGTTGGCCAGAGGCCTCAGTGCATATTTTGTTGACATTCTTGTTTGGGGACATTAGCTGTTTTTAGTAAAGTGAGAATAATTGGGAGGTTTCCCATTACTTGGTTCCAGTTACGTGTAAAAATCTTCAAACATATTAACCTATACCTCATATCTTTCTGGTTTAAATTAGAAACAAAGAGAGAATAGTTTATATGTATGTCTCTGAACCCTAAAACCACAGACCAAATGCTTTGGCTATTTGTTTTGGATTGTTCACAGTACTAAGAAGTGAGATTTAGTTTCAGAAGAAATGACGAGGTCTGGTCTAGTGGTAAAATGTCCTTAGTCACAGTATGGCAAGGATCATTTTAGCATTATTACGGACGCTGAATTAAATTGACCTTTTTTCCCCCCCTTGTATTTAAGCAGCACAGCTTTGAAAGCTTCTGCTTATTTCTCATTGAGTTTTCTAATTTAAAAGGTGCTGCTAGCAGGTCAACAGTCATCATGGTCTAAGACACTTTGTCATTAGATGAATGTTGTAAGCCAACACTGAAATTTCCTTATGCTGTTGAATATAAATCAAAATTGAAATGATTTCTTTATTATTAGTAGTATTATCATGTCAATTTATGAGTCCAATGTATCTTGATCAGTGTCACCCCTTTCATCATTCTCCCCTCATCTATCCTAAACCCCATCTCAAGTTACCAGGTTCGATTTTGATCATATACATACATTGAGCATTATGACTGTATTCACCTACCATTGTACCCTTCATTTGTTGAGATGATTTCTTATCCGTTACACAAAAAGAGCTTAGATGTTTGATTTTAGTTTTATAGTTTCGGTATTTAAAGAGTTTCTTCATCTTATTCATGCTTATCTTTCCTCTGATTGTATTTGTGGCTCCAAACAAATAAAAATTTTAAATTGTAAAGGAACTGAGGATACTGGGGGATATAAATTTTAGAAATGGCTTTTCTTTTCCAATGCCTGTCTTGCTAATACTAAAGCTTTGTAGCCTTCTGTAGTCCATTGGACTTGGCAATTAAACTAAGATTATTTGAAAAATTAGGTTTAAAGACTGAGATTTCCTATGGTAAATTGTCTACATTTGGAAGAGGTATCAGGCAGTATATTATATCCAAACATCTAAACTCAAGTAGTATTCTAATGCTGAAGTGATGAAAATGTGTTCTTTTTGCAGTCTACCAAGCACATGAAGATATACTAAATATTCTTTCCTAAGCCTTACATTTATACTGACTTAATAATTACTCATCTATATCCACCTGGTTTAAGAGATAATTGTTTGCCTATATACAGATAGGAAGGAAACTAGAAAGAAAAACCTTACTTATACTTCATAGGAACTAGATGTTATTTTCATTCTATTTTAGACAGGAAGATAAAATATCAGTTATAAATTCATTTTTCATTGAATGAGTCAGATTG